TGCAGATTGAAAAGTACTGGACAGGAGGAAGATGCAGGATAGCCGTAATGGTGGCTATGAACTAGCCACTCTATCACCCTGGGCCCTAACCCATCCATCCAGGCTAGCCACCCCTTCACCCAGTCCACGCTGACAAAACAGACCAGGCGGCTAAGCCGGGGCGTTTTCAAAGTGGCTTCAATGAGCCAATAGGGCAGCAAGCCAGCAGCAGCCAACATCAGTATAGCAGTAATTAATATAATCAGGGCGGCAGTCATAGCAATCATAGCTAGGTCAAAGGTCCCCAAGCAAACGCGGGGGCGATGTCCTCCAAAGAACTTAGCCACAGCGTTCTCCCAATTGCATCGACAAACCAGGTCTAACAAGCCAACAGCAGCCCTGCGATAGTCGTAATCCCCAAGCCTAAATGGTAATCGCGGAGAAACCAAGCCCCCTCTGCAGCTAAGTCACGATGTCTTCTGAAGCTGATGTCTTCTAAAGCTGAGCCGCAGCGTTTTCAAAACGGTCTCAGCAAACCAGAGGCACAATGGCAGTCACAGCAGACAAAGCAGCGATAGAGGGGGGGAGGGAGGAGGCGAGGCTCTCTCAGCCAGCAGTTAGAGGAAGGTCGAAGCTCTCTCCGGCCAGCTGGATCTCCAGTCCGCTGCCAGCATCAGACCCCCAAGGAAGTCGCTCATACCCTGGCCTCCAAACGCTCTCCAACGCTCCGAACGCTCCCCAACGCTCTCCAACGCCTTCCAAGGCCAGCTGGGTTGCGGCGTCTTCCGAGCGGCTCCCGGGCGGCGTCGGCGTCTTTCTCAAAAAGCAGCCTTGGAGAGCAATGTCTCTCCAGTCTGCTGCCAGCGCCAGGCCCCCAAGGATATTGCTCGTACCCTGGCCTCTCTCCAGCTCAATTTCTGAGGCCAATTTCTCCCTTTTGGCTGTTTTCCCTGTACGGACGCCAGAGCGGTGAACTCGGCAGACATGTTCCTCGCACATGCGCAGTAAAAATGTCTTCCCCCTTTTAGTCTTAAATATATTCCTTCACCATGAATAACGAATAAACCTATGCTTAAATCACATTTCCAAACAAAATCATCATTCTTTACTTGGTTCTTTACTTTCCCAGTGGTCCAATCACTTCTTTAATCTTGCACCATGTTTCCATCTTGTCAACTAGTATTTATTTATAATGTACATTTTTTCATAAAAATCTCTCCATTATCCCCATTTATTGTAATATAACATGCAATTACTGGTATTACCAGCCTATGAATTCTGGTTTTATCGGCATTCTTAGCAAAGTACATGGGACTCTTCCATACATTTATATGTTGCTACATCATACTTTTCATCCCGTTTTCATTACTAAACTAACATCAATTTCTTCCATTTATTCATCAATAGTACTTGACAAGATCAATCACTTTCATTCAGACTGCAGTACCTCTATCCTTCCCCCTTCACTTAGTTTCACAGTTATGCTGCATAGCTGAAATATTTTGCTTGCTTTTTTGCATTTGTTAATACATGTGTTTTTGCCATTAATTCCTGTCAATCCCAAGTAGCTATCTTCAGAATGCTCCTGTCATCATAAGAGGGACTCATGGATATTGACTCCTGCTATTGATCTTAGGTGTTGTAAGTCAAGATAATACCACTAAAATGAAGTGCATTACTGTGTTTGGTCACATTCATGCCTCAAGTTTGTGTGATGCTGGCTTTAAGACTTTCAGACTGGATACTGAAGAAGGTATTCACAGGAGAAAAGGCCAGGACAACTATAATGAATATAAATTAATTAATGAAGTCCCAGTTCTTATAATGTCATGGATATATCCCAGTCAGCCACAGTGAACCTGGGTAGCAGCAAGGAAAGAATTCCATGGTATCAATTTACAAAAACAATTGTTTTCATTGGGTAAGTTTTAGAACCCTTCAACCTTCCCTCCTCATTGCTTATTTAAGCATTAGAAAGGGAAGGTTGCATATTAGTGAGGATTACCTATATCGTTAGGTATCTAACAGTTATTAGGTGTCTAGCTCTGGAGAGCCAGGGACGGAGGCCATGCCTCCATCCTGGTTCTCCTTGACCTCTCAGCGGCTTTCGATACCATCGACCATGGTATCCTTCTGCG